CCCCCTTACCTTCGGTCTGTAAAGGGACATTCCGACATTACTAAAGAGGACATTAGAACAAGGCCCTTACATATCCTGACCCGTACCTTCTATTCAAGCCTTTGGACATTGGGCAAATGGCGCCGGGACCCGTGCTGTCCTTGATCTCCTTTGTTTCCTGCCTTGCCTGTGCTGAGGTCCTTGTAGTGGCCTACAACCAACATCAACCAACTGCAACAAAAGCATGGAGCGTACCACAAACATCTGGCCTTGGCTTGCCGCCGTTGAACTTCCTCCTCTGCTTGCTTCCCTCGCGCTGCCTCCTTCTCAGCAAGTGCTTCCAGTTCCTGCAAACAAACAGTAACCAAACAAGCTGCCTGTGCGCCCTTCAGCGCAGCCAGGAGCAAGTCGCAGCCAAACTAGATCCCATTGCGATTTTGGATCGAACAAGTGCAATCAACTCTCAAACAGGCTCAGCTCAGGCGAGTGATGGGTTTGACATTTGAGCCGTGGGCTGAAAAGCAATAGTAGAGTCTTAGTAAGAGCTGGGGCAATGAAGGAAAGTAGAGGCTTGAAAAACAGAGCAGCGGAAACAAATAGACATCTCCACTGAGTACGGGAAAGTAGGGATGTTCAGACATATAGAAAAGCAAAGGCTATCTTTAAAGCAACAAAGACGACTTCAAGAGATCGATTGCAGAAAAGTAAAGAGTAAAGAATTGAACACTTTAGTCTTCCACTCACTCTCCCCCTCCATTCGCCCGAACAAGCAGCAATGCACAACTTATGCAATGCAACTGCAACGCATCGCGCGCCAGCCCCACAAACAAGAACTGCAGACCATATGCCGGGGTTTGTTTGTAGGTGTTTGTTGTGAGCTTGGAACGGGAGCCTTTGGCTGCAAGTATCCGGCTTGACTTAGGTTTTTGGTCAGCTCGGTCCCGACCTTCCGACTGCAAAAACAATGCAAAACTAAAGTAAATGCAGTTTGGCCCAAAAGAACGTTTTCTGATCTACATATCTTATATATATATAGTTCTACAAAGTTCTCGTGCATGTCTGCTTGAAGTGTGTGCATGCCTGTAAGACTGTCACCAGTCACACCACAAGGACCACAAGCCTTGATTGTTGAAAACATGCATGTAGCGTAACAACTCGCGTGGCAACACGTATGGTGCAGTACACTGAACGTGGCCACAGTGAGAGCGATCCGAGGGAGATTTGCCCAGAAGGGTAAATTTCCATACCCTGCCACTTGGGAATCTATTTCGATGGCAACAGAATTTGCAGTTGTCATGCCGCAAACATGACGTGACTGTGCACGGCATAACATTTCAAAACTTCCCAATGTTCAACTCAAAGCAAGTATGCTGGACATGTATATTATATATATATACACATACATACTCTAAATGACATAGTGTGTCCCTGTTGCATCATTCAGTCGAGTGCTGTGAGTTTTGAAGAAGTATCTTCTCCTGTATCTGTGATGTCTGTGCTCAGTGCTCTGCATCTCTGTTTTGTGGGAAAGGATCGCACGGTCCCGCTTCAGCCCAGCCAGCTCCTGTTGAAACGCAGAGGTACCTCACTCTTAACTAGTCTACGTATAACGTGAGGTTCCATGTTGAAACTGTCGATGTTCACTGACATGCATCGAGAGTTCCGAGAGTTTAAGACACTTGTGTATTTTCTTTCCATCGTGACAAAGGTCTGATCGTGACGTCGTGTGATTGAGACCGAGGGTGAAGACATCGAGGGCTTACTTACACTTCCCTGATTTTGATATTGGTAGCGGAGCAGGCGACAGTCCACTCTGCAAACCAGGACAAAGGAGCTCAAGGACATCATCTCACTGTTCGAGTACGGCAGGACAGGAGTGCATTTAATAGGTACAGACTCGGTGCAGACAGGAGTTCGCCAAGAAGAACACAGCGCAGAGTGAGGATGCCCAGGGAGCAGGATTTTGAAAGAATGATTACAGGGACTTAGATTCTGTCTGTCAGAAGCATGTCCAAGTAAGGACAATCGCAGTCAGACAAATTTCATGGTCGAGTGGAGCTTTTTGAGCGGCAATGCCACAGACGAAACGTGGACACGGCCATTGAAGCGATTTGGCGGAACTGGCTGTCAAGCATCGGACACGTCGTGAAAACAGAAGTGACCAGGGACTTCCGTTTGGAGGAGAAGTACTTCGATCAAGTTACATCATACATTACCTTCCGTGCTCAAGTGCAAGGACAAGCTCTACAAGTGACGGCATCAGTAGTACCAGGACAGACTCCGTTCCTTTTCGCTAGGCCGCTAGGCTGACGCTGGAGGAATGGAAAGTGCAGCAGGAATGAGAAAGGAATGCTCAAAGTCATGCATTCAGACTGGTTCAAGCCTTGAAAGAGGCAGCAAGGGTCATAAATCATCAACTTGTTCGAGAAGACGCAGGAGGAGACAAAAATGTTAGTTGGAGGAAGCTTTGGCCATTCCGGGTGAGTTGTCCGTGAGCTTGAGGGAAGAAGAGGCAGCATGGACAGTGGAAACACAGGCCGTGACCGTGACAGACTGGGTGAAGTTGGGGTTTGAGGATGAGAAAGTGTTTAAGAAGACCCTAACAAGTAGCCAGAGGAGATGAATTTCACCTCCTGTGAGTGGATTAAGGACAACTTGCAAAGACTTTGGTAAATAAGTT